TATATTAAATAATAAAATTACGTTAATAACCATAAAGTTAATATAAATACATTTCAGACATTAGACCAATAACATAGTAAATTAAAGGCAAAATATTGTCTTCCCTAATAAATAAATTTATTAAAAACTTGAAAAAAATATTTAAAATAAGATAATTAATAGAAATAAAAGTCGAAAATATTATAAAAATAAAGATAAATAACATTTATAAGATAATTAGAAAATTTGTTGAAAATTGTCAAGTCTCGGAAGGAGTTCAAGTATAAAAGAAAATTTTCCTAAGTTATGGAAGGTGTTCATGTATAGATGTCTTGTATAGAGGAGCTGCCGGAGATACATACCTGCAGTTGTACATATATATGGGGTGGTCGGGAGCCCGACTGCCTGAAGTACTGTAGCACAATGACTAGTCCTATATTAGGGACTTATGATATTAAACTCACATGATAAAAAAGCAATACTATAGAAGGTCTCCATGATGAATTTGCATTACAAAAGTAGAGTCGTGAGTTCGAATCCTATATATGAATGACTTATGAAAGTAAGGTCTATGATAAAAAAACATTATTATTGAAGGTCTCCTTGATGCATAAGCATTGTATGGGGTGGTCGGGTGACCGACTGCTCCTAGTATTATAGCAAAATGACTAGTCCTTATTAGGGACTTGGAAAGGAATATTACGGTGGCGTGTATGCTGCTTCACGAGCAATTGGTCCGAGGTAAACTTGGACTAGCTAACCGATGTGTCCTAGACATATCATCTTAGTGCTGGTGGTAAGCGGGTTTATTGTAGCAATACGGCTTTCCCGTGGACATCGCACACCCATACCGTTTGTGGGCGACGTCGTAGCGCATAGCGATGCGTCGTCTATCTTTCAGATTGGGATGATGAGTGTGTTTGGTAGCACTTTTAAGTGTAACAGGCATACTCAACTTCATGTCTTAGTGCATTAGCGCTGTAATACGTGGAGTTTTGTTCAATGGCGTCTTAGTAGCGTGCTACTATGATACGTTGGTGATATTTTTTATAACAACAATAAAAACTTTGTTACCAAAATCGATAGGGGTCATGTGGGTGTGTTGTGAGGGGGCGCCATCCGTATGATAGTTGCATTGATGCTTACTGCTACTTGTGGTATTGCGTCTTGTGATGGATCTGCGGGTGTGCTGCGCCTGATTTGACGCACTCTTGTGGTTCTTGTCGATGGAGGTAAACAAATAACCTCTTAGTGCCGATGGTAAGCGGGTTTGTTGTAGCAATACGGCTTTCCCGTGGATATCGCACACCCATACCGTTTGTGGGCGACGTCGTAGCGCATAGCGATGCGTCGTCTATCTTTCGGATTAGGATGATGAGTGTGTTTGGTAGCACTTTTAATTGTAACAGGCATACTCAACTTCATGTCTTAGTGCATTAGCGCTATAATACGTGGAGTTTTGTTCATTGGTGTCTTAGTAGCGTGCTACTATGATACGTTGGTGATATTTTTTATATAACAACAATACAAACTTTGTTACCAAAGTCGATAGGGATCATGTGGGTGTGTTGTGAGGGGGCGCCACCCGTATGATAGTTGCATTGATGCTTACTGCTACTTGCAGTATTGCGTCTTGTGATGGATCTGCGGGTGTGTTGCGCCTGATTCGACGCATTCCTGTGGTTCTGGTCGATGGAGGTATACAATTAACATCTAAGTGCCGATGGTAAGCGGGTTTGTTGTAGCAATACGGCTTTCCCGTGGGTATCGCACACCCATACCGTTTGTGGGCGACGTCGTAGCGCATAGCGATGCGTCGTCTATCTTTCGGATTGGGATGATGAGTGTGTTTGGTAGCACTTTTAATTGTAACAGGCATACTCAACTTCATGTCTTAGTGCATTAGCGCTATAATACGTGGAGTTTTGTTCATTGGTGTCTTAGTAGCGTGCTACTATGATACGTTGGTGATATTTTTTATATAACAACAATACAAACTTTGTTACCAAAGTCGATAGGGATCATGTGGGTGTGTTGTGAGGGGGCGCCACCCGTATGATAGTTGCATTGATGCTTACTGCTACTTGCAGTATTGCGTCTTGTGATGGATCTGCGGGTGTGTTGCGCCTGATTCGACACATTCCTGTGGTTCTGGTCGATGGAGGTATACAATTAACATCTAAGTGCCGATGGTAAGCGGGTTTGTTGTAGCAATACGGCTTTCCCGTGGGTATCGCACACCCATACCGTTTGTGGGCGACGTCGTAGCGCATAGCGATGCGTCGTCTATCTTTCGGATTGGGATGATGAGTGTGTTTGGTAGCACTTTTAAGTGTAACAGGCATACTCAACTTCATGTCTTAGTGCATTAGCGCTATAATACGTGGAGTTTTGTTCATTGGCGTCTTAGTAGCGTGCTACTATGATACGTTGGTGATATTTTTTATATAACAACAATAAAAACTTTGTTACCAAAATCGATAGGGGTCATGTGGGTGTGTTGTGAGGGGGCGCCATTCGTATGATAGTTGCATTGATGCTTACTGCTACTTGCGGTATTGCGTCTTGTGATGGATCTGCGGGTGTGCTGCGCCTGATTCGATGCACTCTTATGGTTCTAGTCGATGGAGGTATGCGGGTGATGATGTCTGCTGGGATGTATGGGGGACCTTGGGATGGTGTAAGCCCGACGATAGTTGTATTGATGCTTGTTGCGTTCTGCAGCATTGCGTCTCTGCGATGGTTGTTTGGTGGGACGCTATTCTCAATGGCGCTCTCTCCGTCTTGGTTTGACTCACGCCTGAGTAGCTTTGCCCAAGTCGGGTCCCTTCATTACGGCGCTGCAGACTGTCTGCCCTCCACAATGTTTTATATAACAACATAATATTATATCTCTGTAACTTTCCCACCTTTGAATGATTGAAGGCAACTTGTTGGTGGGTGAGACAAACATGATCGAAAATGCATTTACTCAACGTCAGTGACACAAACCCTTTCTGATGGCGAATTATTACTCTTATCTTATAACTGCCTTTTGGCTATATCTGCCATTGTATTGGTTAGTGGAGCATATGTGTCGACCTCATGCGGGTGGTAGCTGGCGGGAGGATCTGAGGAGACTCTCAAGGCTGCGGCCGAAAGCCGCACAACGTGGGACCCCATTCCCTTGAGGTGAGCGGTAGACTCATGACACGCTCTGCGGCTAGTAGCCGTGCTGATCATGCAATTGGTGGTGATGCCATACACTTACATCACGTCTGCAGGAGCGGCGGTCTGGCAGGTGGTGGCGCTCACGGAGGGTTTACGGCCAGTGTGCCTATTTGGCTAAACCGTGTGACGTACATTCACTGTGGCTGGATTCGTTGTATTCTGTTTGGCGTTTACACGCATTGACATGCGCGACTTCGGTCGATGTTTGTGCTTACGCACTAACAAGGGGCCAAGCTTCTTTTACTGGTTCGCCAGTTATTTTGCTGTGGACTACGGCCCATTCTCGAATTAGCGTTTCCTTCGGGGGGGAGTGCATCAAAATGGTTGGCGCTCACCGTGCACGGCGTGTGTGGAGCCGTGTGCCTCCCCTACATTTTTTAATAAATATAGGAGAGCGAAGCCCTTGTATCGGGTATTTTGTATAAATATATTTTGAGCCTTTTCCGAGCGGGAAGGGATAAATAATATTAAGTTAATAATGTTAACCTGATACAAGTGGTATTGGGACGTTTTATGTTTTTAACCTTTCTCGAGCCCTGTCTTCGTGAACGGGGTTCACTTAGCTTATAAGGCACTACCAACAGCTTTCAATTGCTCTAGCGAATATTCATTCTTCCAAAAGACACCCAAAAGAACTAAGTTACTATACAAACACAACGTAAATATGGGTTCTAACTAAGACGATCACGCCAAAATATTACAAACGGCCTATTATTAAACCTTTAGAAAGATCATTTAGAAAGATCAAAACATATTTTATTTATCCTAGTCACATATATATGATTTATATTATAAAGAGGAATTAATTATATTTTTTTTATAGAATAGGCTGACAAACGAGCACACAGTCCACCTGATGGTAAGTGGTTGCTGCGGCCCATAGACATCTACATCTATCTTCCATTACAAATCAAAATGCAGATGCGTTGTCACCCGTGAGGACTGAGATGGAATGCCCCATTTTCAGTAAAAAGGGTCTCCGGTTCTCCACACTCACCATACGAAATACAGCAGCATTAAGCTACTATTTCACGCTGGTATTCTGTGAGAGCGTGGTCCTTCCCCGTTCGAGCCGACCCATTCGTGCTACAACTATACTATTAATATAACTGCAGCATGGCTCTACCACGTTTAATCTAATATGATATTATTATTATTATGGGAGAGGGGTAAGCGTTACAATATGAAGGTCTTGGGTTCGACTCCCAGGCCGGAATAGTTTATCGTTTTCTTAGTAATATCTCTTAATAAATTCATATAGGGAATTTTTAAGATATAAATTATGTTACCGGATTTGTTCCCCGGTTGAAATCATCTTTCCAATAATGTTAATTTAAAGAAATATTAAAATAAAGTTAGAGACCAGGATTTGTTCCCCGGTCGAGATGATCGCTGTGCATAAGTAGAATTAATGGAAATTAATTGCATAAGTATTGTCTTATATGAGTTTAATATGTTTTGTATAAAAACAAATGCCTATTTTCTATGATTGATTTATGAAAACATTTACTTATATTGTTTGATAAGAAACATGATAACTGATAAGAATCTGATTAGAGGTAGTTTTCGGCGTTTGAGAATTGAGTAGAATCATTTATTCACCTAGTATTGTTGATATTAGTGTATACTAAACTTTTCATTTTTACTGATAGTCGATAGCCGTGCAAAAGTTAGTTGTTCAAATAGTGTGAGTTCATAGACGCACGCTAGCCACGTACTAAATATTTGCAAATTTCAGCAATTTATGTAAAATGACTTGTAAAACATTTCAGATTGATTGTACGTGTAAAAGAGGTGAATTCTGTGTTATTTTATGTGAAAATTCCTGTGAATAAGTGAAATAATGATAGTTTTGTATAAGAAATTTAAAAGTGTTTTAACAGTGAAATGTATAGAGAAAATGTAAATTAAACTATTGTATTAGTTAAGATATGTATAATTTCAAGTGGAAAACATTGTTTTAACTTTCTATGTTAAATATTTAAGAAATTCCAACTTTGAACATGTGAATAAAATAAGCATATTTTGTTAAATAAATAAAGGGTTTTTTGTGATATGAAAATATAATGTATGTCGTAGTATAGATATTTTTTGTGCTCTCTTTACAAGTAAATTGTATAAATGTATGTCTTATACAAATAAAGTTATTGAGCAAACCGTGAGAGAGTGATAGTAATAATTGATGTAATTGAGTTGCGCAAGCGCACAAATGGCGCGGCTCACTTTCGCGTTTAGCTTCGAGGTAGTTCAGTAAATTGATTTTTCTTGCAAATCGTTGAATTTTGACACCTACAACGCCAATAGAAGGCTCCCAGGACCGGTCCATAGTGGTGGACCGCGAGGACAGCACGGGTAATGGGGGCTTACCCCGAGGCCCGAAACCTCCATGTGCATACGCACATGAAGAAGACATCAACATCAACGTTGCAAATCGTTCGGGAAAAGTGCAAGACCAGCAGTCAATAAGAAGAAGAAAGAAAAAGTATAGGGAAGTGATAGGGAAAAGTAATTACTCTCTCACGGAACGGTTTGAAGATAATTACTGTTTTATTCCCAAGGAATTCTCCCCTTAAAGTGATACAGTCCATATCGAAGAATTAAGGCGTTGGGACCGGGACGACTTCGAAAGATCCGTAAGCCCCGCCTGAACTTATTTTCTGAAAAGGAAGAGGTTATCGCCCTTGTGTGTTACTCCGTTGCGGAGATCACATACGTTGTTCCTGAACCCAACGTAGGCGTTATAGGAGGCCAGATCGAGAGAAGCCTCGATTCCCCCCTTCTGTTTCTTAGTTAATGTTTGTCTGGTTCCTTTTCAACGCGGCTCAGAAGGGAAATCGGTCTGTAGTTCTTCAAGAGAGCGTTGTCGCTTTTCTTAAAGAACAAGACCACCGCACTTCTGCTCCATGCCTCCGGAGTAGTGCCACCATGGTGGACGGAATTGAAGAGCTTCTGAAGGACTTCAAGTACCGGTGTTCCACCCGCTTTCAGAAGCTCCGCTGTAATTCCATCCTCGCCCGGGAACTTGCCGTTTTTAAGGTGGTGGAGAGCCATTCTAATCTCTCTCAGACTGACGTCCGGGATATCATCGGAATAATGGATAAGACTTGCTCTTGGATCGTTACTCACACTTGCGTGTGGCTCCAACGATGATGTGTACAGCTGCCCAGAGAACTTCTAAATCTCACTCAAAATCCCAGGTGTCTCGGAAACGATGCTGCCACACTCAGTCTTCAGCTTTGACAGTTGGCTCTTTCTGGCAGACAGATCTCTGGCAAAGACTTTGGAGCCCTGGTTCCGCTCGATCGCTTCTTTAATACGAGCAGTATTAAGTTGCGTAAGTCTCGCCGCATGCATTTGGAGATCTGTCTGTTCAGTTGCCTGTATGTTGTCAAATCTGTTGACGATTGCAGCCTCATCTCCCGTCTAACAGCCATGAGATTAAGAGTGTGATCGGAGAGTTTTTGTGTTCTTCTGCGGCGGGTCTTGCAGAAATTAGCTCCGACCGCATGGACAATTTCCACGAGCTTGTCATTCATATCGTCCACTGCATTGCAAGCTTCTAGGCACTGAAAGCGGTTACGTAACTCGAGCTGAAAAGTCTCGGGATTCTGGATTAGAGCACAAGGGGGACGGAGCGTTGGCTTCATTAGACGAGACCTCTCCAACTTAACCTTAAGGTTCAGTGTGCCTCTAACCATTCGGTGATCGCTGCCGGTTTTTACCCTTGCGATCACTGAGACATCACTGAACAGTTGGCGTCTGGTCGTCATAATGAAGTCAATCTCATTTTTTGTCGAACCGTCGGAGCTTAACCAGGTCCACTTCCTGTGGGGCCGCTTCTGAAAGAAAGAGTTCATCATAAAGAGTCCCTCTTTCTCCATAAAGTCAGCCAGATGCTGGCCCCTACGGTTCCGTTGCCCTACTCCAAATTTCCCTAACTTCAGCTCACCGCCTTCTCTTGTGCCTAGTTTTGCGTTGAAGTCTCCCATCAACACCGTTTAGTGGGTTTTGGAGGAATGCATGGCTCTAGAAATATCCTCATACATTTCCTTCAACTCCTCATCGGGATGTGTCGAGGTTGGTGCGTAGACCTGTATGACCTTCAGCGAATACCGTTTGGTGATTCTGAGTATCAGGTACGCGACCCTCGTCGACACACTCCCAATCTTTACAACGTTGTTGACTTGAGACTTAAATCCGACACTTCCTTGGGACAGATGGTCGCCCTCCCGGTGATAGAACAAGTTTCCGGACTCGAGGATTACCGTGTCCTCCCCCTCTCTTCGGACCTCAGAAAATGCAATAATATCCCAGCGCAACTTGTTTACCTCTTCTTCCAGCTCCAGTATCTTCTCGTCAGTCCTCAGGGTGCGTGCGTTATACGTTGCCAGGTCGAGTCGTCGTAGTTGGCAACCGAACCTCCACCGGAGATTCTTAGCACCCCCTGCCCCGCCGTTACTTTGGTCGCCACCGTAGCCAGGGATAGAGGGGCCGCCGGGGACTGGGGGCCGTTTATTTGCGTCGTTGCTCATGGGGGGGATATTTGCCATAGTTGCCACGCTTGGCGAGCGGGTTAGCAACCGCAGTTTTTTATTATGTTATTGTTGTTATTAGGAAGATGCTGCTGCCCATCTCCTTTCTGTGTCCCTCTGTCGCCTCTTACAACACCCACGGGAAGATATGGGGTAGTAGATATTGTCAACCGCCACTACACGGCTACTACTTTACTACTACTAATTTAAATAACATTATAAGTGAAACAATAAGGATTATTTTTGCAAATAAGTCTGATATTGTGCTGATGGACTGGGCACATTTATAAATAGTTTTCGTCGACATTACCATTTCGTATGGTGTGAAAGCCGAAATAAATAAGAAAACAAAATATCAGTACCTGACTCATGTGAGGTGGTATGTCGGTCGAAATAATTTATCTAGATCTCTGCAAATGGGTTTATCCCGTACGACCTCTCGTGTCATTAAAGATGACTGGAACTCTGTGATGAACCTCCACCATCCCATGGTCCTACCCGCCTTGCGGCATACGGACCGAATCTAGGGAGACGCACACGGTACTTGCTCTCGGCTCTTTCCCGCGTGCGCTTGCTTGACTCCCTACAAATTTCTCTGATCCGTCCCTCTTCTCTACATTACACTTCTCCCCCTTCTGGGGCGTGACTCCACAGCGACGACACTTCGCGTTCAGCAGCTATCTGGTCGTGTTATTTAGTCCTCATATTGTTTCCTCTTGTGATGCCATGCATGCGCAAATCTCCTTAATTCCTTGAAGTTGGATTCGCAGCACACTAGGTCCCGGAAATAAACTGGTCCTATTGCTGTTCTTTGTATGCTGTCCAGTAATGTGTTCCTTTCTTCGACATACAGATCACAATCCCATAATGTATGGTCACGACTCTCCAGTGCAGATCCACAGGGGCATAAACCGGAGTTCCTAAGGTTGAATTTCAGGAGACGCTCATTGAAGCAGCCGTGACCAACCAGAATCTGCGATACTGCATAATCGGGCTCGACCCATCTGAAGATTAGGCGCTCTGTGATATCTGGGAAAAACTTATAAAGGTCCCTGCCATCTTGGCTTGAATCCCATCGGTCCTGCCAAATGGCAACGACAGCCGCCATCATCTCCCGCTTTTTCTTCCTGCGCTCCTTGTCGACCAGACCCGTCCCCTCCTCGTCGACTCGTCCCGCGCGAAGAACTTCCAGGTCGGCAGGCAATACGCCCGCCAACACCGGTAACGCTGCGTTGCTAGCCGTCCTGTAAGCCTTCGTGAGAAGAATCAAAGCTGATCTTTGCGTCCTCATCAGTACGCTTCTGATAACATGGAGGGACGAGCGTCGGTACCATACGGCAGCAGCATATGTCAACGTTGCCACATATGTCCCTGAATACAGGACTCTAAGGGCGTGAAATCTTATGCCCCAGGTCGATGAAGACAGTCGCGACATCTTCCCGAAACAAGCAGCGGCCTTCTCGCCGATATATAATGCATGCTGCACATAGGACCTAGCCTCGTCCAAAACTATTCCAAGGGCTTTTGCCTGTGAAACACTCGTGATCGTAGCACCGTCCATCTTGATAATTGGTCCACGTTTAAACTTGCCCTTGTAGGTCATCGTTTGTGACTTCCCAGCAGAAAACCCTAGTCTATTACGAACACCCCACTCGGACACGGCAGCGGTCATAGCTGCCGCTTTGCGCTCTATTGCGGAACGAGACGGCGCTTCGATCACGATCGTCACATCGTCGGCGTAAGCTACGAAGTGTACTCCTTCGGGTTTTGGCAGCTTCAGGAGGTCATCGAGTAGGAGGTTCCACAGGGTTGGTCCCAGCACCGATCCTTGAGGACAGCCCATCGTGGAGACCTTCCACACTACCCGATTTCCAGCAAACAGTCCCACTCGGCGATTTATGAAGTAACTCGTTAAAATACGGTAAATATTAGGTGGAACACCACATTGCTTTGCCTTGAGTAGGACCATTGGCCACCAGGCATTGTCGAAGGCTCCAGATATGTCCAGAAATATCAATTGCACGTAGTTCTCGGTTGAACCGCTGGCAGTGCGGTTGATAGTGTTAAGCGCGGTCACTGTTGATCGGCCACGTGTAAAGCCATGTTGAGCGTCGGAGATTCCGCGATAGAGACATGGAGCGCACGAAATAATTACGCGCTCTAGAATTTTTCCTAATACGGGCAACAGGGTTATCGGGCGGTAGGCTTTCGGGTCAGTGAGCGGCCTGTCGCCACCCTTTGGCAGGACAACCAATTTGCCCATCTTCCACAGATTCGGAAAAACGCCCTCGACTATGCACGCCCTAAACATGTGCCAGATCTCGTCGCCAGTAACCCGCCATGCCTGTCTAACAATCTTGGCCGTGATTCCGTCAACGCCGGGAGCAGTGTTCGGCAGCTCTCGAATGATGAGTCCAACTTGTTCCTTGGTTGGTGGAGCAGCATCAGTTCCAGATGGAGCACATGCAGCAGCGATTCGCACTTGTCGATGGTATTCAGTGTCCCGGGCTAGATTATCGTCTGGGCATAAGGCGGTGACGAGACCAAGCATGGTGTCTCCGGTCGTCCTAGTATAGCCGTCGGCTAATTTCATTCCACTAAGCACGTTAAGAGGTGGACGAAATCGTCCACTGGCTGTTCGGTAAGCCAGGCCCCACGGGTCGGTGTTACCTGACTCCGCAACGGAGCGGAAGAAGGCAAGTTCAGCATCTTTCATGGCTAACTTGTAGCGTATTCTAACTGCACGCAGTTGATCATGTAGTGCCTTCTCCCTGTCGCCTCCTGCGCGACGTGAAGCCTGCCACTTGCGACGTGTACAGTAGACCTCATTTCGCATACGGTCAAGAGCCGGAGACCACCATTCGTACCCTTCTTTTTCCTTTTTAGCACGTGTGCCTAGTCGCTCCCTCGCAGTACGAAGGAGTATTGCAGAGTACTGCTCACAGATTTCATTAGCTGGGCGCGTTAGCCTCAGCTGGGACATGCGGGCGTGCAGAGTCGAACAGAAACCTCCCCAGTTCACACCACGTTCACGAAAGTAACAGCCGTTATCTGAAAACTCTGTGCCATCGTACATCCGTGAGTCGCCAAGGATAACGCCAAACGTTATCAGCTGGTGGTCACTCACACTGACACCCTCATGCACCTTCCAGTCGGCAACCCTCACACTACGTGTGGAGATGGTGATATCCACGTTGGATGAGCCGTTTGGACTATGAAAGGTTGGCGGTTGGCCCTCCACATTATGCACCAGCAAGTTCCGTCCGAGGATGAATCCCTCCATCTGGGACTTGCGGTATTCCGTGTCAGGGCCCCGACCTGCCCATTGCCTGCGCTCGCAGTGCCACATTGGAGAATGAGCGTTACTGTCCACTCCAATAAGTATTGGGTGACCAGAAAGCTGATCCATCACGTGTGTGAGATGTTGCAGGTGAAGAGAGATGTCATGACTGTACTGGCAGTATAACGATACGACGTACATGCTAAGGCTCTGGCAGCTAACATGACCTACAACACAGTGTTCGTTACATAAGTCATGTAGAAGTGTAACTATAAATCGTGAGCTTACTGGTAATAGGCCGGCCTTAGGGTTGGTGCCACACCCTAGCACTCGAGGATGCTGATGTTGCTCCTGGAGTAGCACAAGATCCAACCCCAGTTCTCCAGCTATGACAGGAAGCTCAGTGGTAGCCACCTTGGAGCCTTGCAAGTTTAGCTGACCTACGCGAAAGGTAATCGTCTTAACCATATTGGGTCATGTTAACCGACTGCTGTTCCGCATGCAAACGTGCAGGACAGCTGAGAGCGGCAGTAGTATGGGTGTCAGCGTCTTTCCGCTTGAAGCGCTTGCATGTGGCGCAACACTGTGTAGCCGATTGGCACTCTGCGGCACGATGCCCAGTCTCGCCACATTTGCCGCACACCATCGATGCCGCCCTGCAATGCTTCTCCGGATGGCCGTATTGCTGACATTTAGAGCAGCATGTCACCCGTACGAAATCGCAGATTTCTGCTTCGTCCCAACCAATAAAGACGCTGCCAAGGCCGACCAACTTATCACGCAACGCAGATGTGCACTCCATAACTACCGTGGTGCGTGGTCCATCTCTGCGGCCCTTCTTGAAGGCAACTCTGCAGGACTCATTGAACTTGTCTTTAGGCCAGTCCAGGTCATCACTCAGATTGATCCTGTACAAGTCCTCTAGGAAGTCGGCAGCTGGTGGGTCTGAGCGCAAATTGCGCGCTGCCACCAGTGGGCGCCTACTTTTTGGGTCGGAAACCTTTAAAGATGGCGGAACCGCTGCCTTCAATTTCTGGGCAGCCTCGACAGTCGCCGTCTGTACCACAATGCCGGAGTTCCCAACTTTCCGTACACTGTGAATTTTTATGCCCTGGGTGCCAGGCTGAACTGCCTTCTGCAACTCGGTTTTGGTCTCATCCGACGACTTTATCGCCTCATTGTTTGGGTAAACAATTACAGCCGGGCCCTTGGACTGGACACAGAGTGGTGGCTTACCCTTAGGCAGCTTCAATTTGGAGGCATAGCTGTCAGCAGCAGAAGTTGAAGAGGCCACACAGGGGATAGAAGGGGCAGGAAGGGTCTGGGCTTGAGCAACCGAAAGCTCCAGCTGCGCACACTTAAGCTTTAAGGCCGTTACCTCCTGTTCCTTTTCGCCGTACCTAATCTCTAGCGTTGCCACGTACGCTAGGATGTCTTGGCTGAGGCTGGCAATGCTGGTCTTATCAGCCAAGTTGAGCTTGTTGCTCGCATTGGCGACAGTTGCGATTCCTTTGAGAGCCGCGTGTACCCTCTCCAGAAGCGCAACCTTGTCCAGCACTGAGATGCCACTGGAGCCATCAGGATAGCTGAACCGAGAAGCATTTCCTGAAGTTGAGGCGGGGTCTGGCATAGTCTTTGTTAATATGCCACTAACTGGCGGATGCACCGACTTCTTCTCTGCGACGCGGCGCCTGACTGCCTCCTGCACGTCCTCAGGTGAGGTTAACACCCTTTTGGCCGTCGGTATAGAAACTGCAGCAGAAGAGGTGCTTTGTTGAACTGAGGGTGTGCTAAACCCTTGCGGGGGGGTGCGGCGCAGCGAGGTGCGCGGTGTAAAACCAGCCTCTCGCCGCATCTGCTCCAGTTCCTCAAGCTCAGCTTGCTTCCTGGCGAGCTCATCCTCGATGAGCTGCCGCTCCGTACCACCCGTGTCATCCTCTTCCATTTATAAATAAATATCCAAACAACAGACCAAGTAAAGAGCAAAAGGGAAGAAAGAAAAAAAAAAAAAAAATAATAATTATAGATTATGTGTATAAGATAAATATACTAAGGGAAATTAAACTTCGCGTTCGACCGCTTTAGCGTACGGACGTGTCAGTACAATCTCCGCATTTTAAATTCATTTAAAGTGTCCCAAGTTAACCCTTTGTCATAAGTGCTATCTATTAGTGTTCGTGGCATATGTGGTTACATATTGTGATAATTTTCGTGAATTTATATTGTTAATTTGTGTATATTTTAAACATTTCTACGAAATATTAATCGTTCAGTGCATTTGATATTATCTGGATTATCCCTGTGCTGAGCTAAGTATTTCTAATTTTAAGTATTTCTTTTAGTTTATTTTACATTTTAGAATAATATTTCTATAATGGTATTACTTATTTAATTATATTTCATCTAACCTTAAATTGAGGTTAATTTGTAAGCACGTGGTGAGCACGCGCTTTCAGTTGTCAGTTTCAATTGACGTTTGCGGTTGTCAGATTCAATTGACGTTTGACGTTTGACGTCTGACATCTGACTTTGACGTTTGACAGCTGTCATTGTCATTGTCTCTGGCACTGTATTGCTAGATATAAGGTTTTAATTTCCCTTAGTATATTTATCTGTGATGAACCGTTTCAAACCCAAATGTAAAAGGGGATGTTCCTCAATATCGCCTGCATCGTCAGTCGGGGTCTTTCTCTTTCCCCCCTAGCCTTCGGCCGTTTTATCTCCCTTGCCGAGGCTTCGCTTTCGTAGGGCTTGGTTTAGTTATAAAAATAAACTTCATTTTACATATTCCTTTATTTATATACTATACATTTTCTTATTAAGCTTATATTGTTATATGTATACATATAAATAAAAATGTGTTAAGCCCATGTCACAGCTATGCCGGTAGTTGTAGGGAGCAATAAGTTCAAAGATGTTGACTAGGAATAGTCTAAGCAGGAAAGACCAACTTGGATCGAGAGGTTAACCGACGGATCCGATTCGACTGGGCAGCGTTTGGGATATTACCAATCATCTTTTCGTCAGATGTACCTCAAAACTTGAGAACAAAATTGTACAACCAGAAGTGTTACCGGTGACTTATGGTTGGACTGGATGGACTTATTGTCAGTCATAGCCGTATGAGGAAGCTCAAGATCGCTCAGCAAGCTATAAAAAGGGCTACGCTCGGGGTTTTTTTGGGTGATACATAGAAATGAGGATATTTGCAGTAAAAGTTTTTACTGAAAAAGAGGAATTCCATCGTAATCCTTATAGGTGACAACGCATCAGCATTTTAATTTATGATCGAGGATTGATGTAGATGTATATGGGCCGCAGCAACGACTTACCATCAGGTGAACTGTGTGCTCGTTTCTCACCTTTATCTTATAAACAAACCCAGAGTAACCAACATAGCTTGACGCATTAGTTAGCTGAAGTGGCAATTGGCCGGCCGTATACCGTGAAGAATCCGATGCCGATGGGGAATAAAGGTTCTAAAGTGGCAGCCGCGTACCATTAGGCGAGGTGTAGGGCAGTCCCCCAGTAGTTGAAGTGAAGACCTGGTAAGACACGCAGGAAGTCGTTCAATGCAGGTCTGTTCTTTTTGGTATTCCTTGGTGGAGGCCTATGTTTAGCAGTGGAGTTATGAAGGGCTGTAATGATGAATGATGATATAGATAAAATTAAAGTATACGTCTATAATATCGAAGTAACTGCCTTTTATCGAGCTCAATGTGTTTGCATACCATTAAGATGTAAATAACCATTTGTAAAAAAAATATTTATGTTTGTGTGTCCGTTCGATTGTGATGAAACTTCACGAACAGATAGAGAGTAATAATGGAAGTGATCAAAACTATATTTTATCCCAAAAATTTGGAATGTTTTTGTAAAATCGTAAAATGAACATAATAAATAGTCATTGCTGATAAAAATCAAATTAACACCACCTTATTATATTCAACCCAGACGAAGCCAGAGCTGGTCGCTGGTATTAATATATTTTATAAGTATTTATGATATTTATTGTAAACAACAAGACGAGAAAGGAGTGTAAATATCTCTAAAATAATAATAATTTCATAAAAAATTTTGACGTACCCATTAAATATACAAATACATATAAAAACTGTTATTTACAGTAGACGAAGAGTAGAGAGTTTTCAAGAAATTTTACCTGTGACACTCAGAATAAACTCATTTTGTATTGTTTAAGCTATTTGCCAATGGTCGTTGTCTCGCATTTTGTATCTTATTTCATTTTCTTCACTATCTCGCAATAGTCAACTGCTTTTCTACACTTACGTTTTTTCCTTGTGGAGAAAATGTACTAAATCAATATACTGTTAGGCAGGCTGATTGACTTGACATGTCACACCTTTGACGTTGCTTCCCAATGCGCGTCTAGGTAATTAAAGTCTTCTGTGGTTATGAATAGTACTCAATCAACTTTCACACATACTGGATAAAACTGACCCTGAAAAAAAAATAAAATAAATGATAAAACTTCAAACTAACTAACAATAACACGTAATACAGCCTCATTATCATTATGCAGACAAAGATGCAGTCTTCCATAGATATGGCATTCACGTCCCTTATAGTGATAAAGTTAAGAATTTGGGAATATATATCGACTCCTGTCTAACATGATCACCACAAATTAATGAAGTCAGTAGGAAAATGTTTGCAGCGATAAGCTCTCTGCGGAGACTTAGAAATTTTCTTCCTACTGCCACTAAAGTTGCGCTTACTCAATCCCTACTTCCGCCTATTCTTGGCTATGCTGATGTTTGTTATCTGGACATTACCGAAGCGCAGTTAATAAACTTGAGCGAATCCAAAATTTATGCTTACGATTCATATTTATACTCGGTAAATATAATCACATTTCAGAATTTCGTAAACGCTTCAAGTGGCTGCCGATTTTCCTTCACAGTAATACTCACATTCTTTGTTCTTTATACAGCTTACTCTTCAATCCCTCCACTCCATGTTACCTGAAAGACCGTTTGAATTCATTTTCTCCTCTCATGATCGTCATTTACGTTACACTAACAATTTTTTTCTACGTATTCCAGCATATTTATCCTATTTCTTCAATAAATCGTTTTCTGTTAGAGTTGTACGCTTGTGGAACTCCTTACCTTTATATATTCGACGTGCTCAGTTCCTTTTTCCTTTTATAAATCTACTCAAAACTTATTACTTGGAACTCTAATATTTTCCATCGTATTTCCCGTCCTCAATTGTATCTATCCTACATATCCTCAACCGTCATCATATTGTGTTTGTTTATATATTTATAATTTTTTTAACTTAATTTTCAAATTTATGTATACCTACCCTATTTGTATTTCGCTGTAAACAATAGTTCTTTGCTAAACAAGAGTTGTCTGGAAGAAATTGCTTCCAAAGCGGTAAGACTGCCTGTTGCACTTTCTATATGCTGACGACTCCGTGGCGCAGTGGCTTAGCAATGAGTGGCTGCGCTGGGGGTCGTGGGTTCGAATCTCGCACGGAACAAGTATTTGTATGGCCTATATATAGTTGTTCCGGGTCTGGATGTTTGTCCTGTGTAATTTATGTTTTTAAACTGCCCCCACGATACAAAAGAAAATCTTAGTGTAGGGGTAACGTTTTTAATAAAAAATAATGAAATAATAAAAATAATATATATATTTCATTTAGTCTCTTTTTATGTGTATTAGTGCACAATAAAGAATACTGTTACGAGCTTAAGGTTCGTGACAATAAAAACTGCCGACTGAATTACCAAAATTGACACTTTAATTATTGAACACCAATTAAAACTCAAATCACACTAATAATTATTCACACTTAACACTTTATTTCACTTTTATTAACTCCAAAAGCTTCGCTCGTATCGCCAATTCAATACTGCCCCGGTCGCGGCGCTCAACAGATTTAAATAGGCCTTTTCCACCGAAACATCCAAAATATTACAGCAAATACCGGTTCCGACCGACTAAGTGCGGAAAGTTCGAGCGTAAACTTTTCTAGAAAGCTTAGTTATTCCATTCGATACTAGACGGCGCTGTTGGTGGAAAGTTCATTAATGGTATTTTCTAAAAAAGCCCTCCTCGTTCTGTTCCCCGATAGTAGATGTCGCTAGTGCCAGGTACCGGACATTAACTTAGGCGCGCAACAATATATTTATTGATTAATTCATTGACAGAATACAGGCAACTGAAGAGACAGATCTCCAATTGCATGCGGCCGGACTTACGCAGCTAAAATGAAGCTCATATTTAAGAAACGATCGAATGGAACCAGGGTTCCAAAGACTTTGCTAGAGATATATCTGCCAGAAAGAGCCAACTGTCGAAGGTGAAGATCGAATGTGGCTGAATCGTTCCCGTGACGCCTGAGATTCTGAGTAAGATTGAGAGGTTCTATGGGCAGCTGTACACGTCCATATTCCTCATAACTGCTTTTTTACGTTGAGCACGATAATTTAACGCCTTAATAAATTTACATTGTATTTGCTCTATATTCTCTATATAAGACAAATAATGCGGATTCCAGACATTACAACAATACTCTAAAAAACTTCTTCCATAAGAATAATACAAAATTTTAATGCATTCAAAATCTGAGAAAGGACGGGACACTTTTAGAACAAATCCTAAATTTTTATACGCTTTTGCAACCATTGTCGTGACATGATTAGACATAAGCATTTTGGAATCAAAAATAACACCGAGATCTTTGGTTTGGTAGAGAAGTTCCAAAGGTATGTTATCTAATTTATATCGATATTCATTTTGGTGTCTTTTACGAGTGAAGCTTATTTGATAACATTTTGTTATATAAACACTAATACGGTTATCATGATAGAAGAAACAAAGCTGGTTCAAGTCTTTCTGAAGTTGGTGTGCATCTTCCTCAGACTTAATATATGCGTAAATTTTAGTGTCGTCCGCATACATGAGGAAT